GTGAGTTCGAGGCCAGCCTGGGCTACCAAGTGAGTCCCAGGAGAGGCGCAAAGCTACACAGAGAAACCCTGTCTCGAAAAACCAAAAAAAAAAAAAGAGATGACGAGCAATAGATGATGAAGACACTCAGTTCTGGCTCCCGTGTGCACGTATGCACGCACCTGCCACGCCCATGTGCACACCCTGTACAAAATAAAGTGTCATCGTGCTAATAAGACCTTTATCGGCTTTGTGTATCAAAGTGGTTTTGGCGTTTAATCGTTTGGAGTAAAAATTGTGCTGAACCCAGGTGGTGGTGGCTCACACCCTTTACCCCAGCACGGGGGAGGCAGAGGCAGGCGGGTCTACAGAGCGAACTCCAGGATATCCTAAGCTACACAGAGAAACTGTCTCAGATAAAAACAAAAGAAGTGTGTTGAATACTCTTCCGTATGCTTCCTGGATTCTGTTGGTTTGTGACAGAGTCTCACGTATCCCAGGCAGGCCTTGAACTCACTTTATAGCTGTAGGTGAACTTCTGATCTTGCCTCTGCCTCCTTAGTATTGGAATTTCCAGCGTGTGCCCCTGCGGCAGTCTACAGTGCCGGGGATCAAACCCAGGGCTTTGTGCCTGTTCTACCAAATGAACAACACCATTAACCCCTTGTATGTATGTGTGTGTGTATTTTTGAGACAGGAGCACATTGTATAGCCCAGGCTGGCCTTGAACTCATGACCCTCCTACTTCAACCTTGAGTGTGGGCGCACCGGGGTACAGAGGTAACACCTGGCCCTAGGTTCTTTCTTTCTTTTTTTTTTTTTTAAGCTCAAATCAGTTTCCAGCTCTCCATGTCATTAAAGAGAGGACACTCAGAACCTCAGGGGGGGACCCTAAAACTTACACATACCCTCTCCCCGCACTCTGTCACCCAGGTTGACGGATGGCGCAAGACTCTTGTTCCACCTTCGGCAGCTGCTACAACAGCTGAAAGAGATGAGCCAGAGTCTTCACTACGAGGGTGACATGTCTAGGCAAGGCGTGGACCTGCAGAATGCCCAGGTCACAGAGCTGCTACAGCGCCTGCTCCAAAGGTCTGGTGGCCTGGGAGGGGTCTGTGGCGGGAGAAGCGACGAAGCCACGTGGGGACACAGTTGTCACAGACGCCTCTTTCCTTAGGTCCTTTGTGGTGGAGACCCAGCCCTGCATGCCCCAAACTCCCCACCGACCCCTCATCCTGAAGACCGGGAGCAAGTTCACTGTCCGACCAAGGTTGCATTTTTTTTTCTTTTCCTGCTTTTCCGAGACAGGGTTTCTCTGTGTAGTTTTGGTGCCTGGCCTGGATCTCGCTCTGTAGCCCAGGCTGGCCTCGAACTCACAGAGATCCGCCTGGCTCTGCCTCCTGAGTGCTGGGATTGAAGGCGTGCGCCACCACCACCCGGCATTTTCTAACTCCTGCCTCGTTTTCCCTGCTCTGCCATTGTGCCTTTTCTGAGCACAGATCTTTTCTCTGATGGAAATTTCTTCTTTCCCCTCCGGTTCACTTCCTTCTTCTAACCCCTCCCCAACCCTTTTCTCTACACATCTGGACTTATCGAGAACTGGAGAGCCAGGCGTCATGTCTGTGAGTTCAAGGCCAGCCTGGTCTACAGCAACAGTTCCAGGACAGTTGGCTACACAGAGAAACCCTGTCTCAAAAACAAACCAACAACAGCAACGGCAGCAGTGATTGACCACTGTCTCCACGTCCTGTTCCCCCAGGCTGCTGGTGAGGCTCCAGGAGGGCAATGAATCACTCAAAGCAGAAGTCTTCATTGACAGGTGAGTCGAGGGCAGCCGGAGGATGTCACTAAGATGGCTCATGGGAATAGGCTGCTGTCAGGGGCACTGGTTGCACAGTGGGACCCTCCGGCTGCCTTTTGTCCACTCCGTTCTACCTGACAGAAGTGCTGGTGCCCCCCTTTTAATCCCAGCACTGCACTCTGGGGGCAGAGGCGGGAGGATCCCTGTGAGTTCGAGGCCAACCTGGTCTTCAGAGCGAGATCCAGGACAGTCAGGACTGTTTCACAGAGAAACCCTGTCTCTAAACCACCACCACCCCCCAAAAAAGAAAGAAAGAGCAAACAAACAAACAAACAAACAAACAAACTAAACACAGCAAACCACCCCACCCCCCTCTCACGGAGGTGCCATGCACGTCTCAGGCTCATTCCCTGCACTGACCGCTCCACCAGGTAGGAATTACCAATGCGTCAGGCCATGTGGCTAGTGAGCTCGAGGGTCTGCCTGAGCACCAAGACCAAATTCCTAACCAGATTGCCGAGTGCAGGCCTGGTGGGAAGGGCCGCTTCTGAGCCATCTCCCTCTCCCCCACAGAACCACTGATTTTTCTTCTTCTTCTTCTTTCTTTTCAGGAATTCAGAGTTACCAGGGTAGGTGCCTGACGCGGACATGTACACTGCACACATGACCTGAACAACCACACTTGGCAACCCTGGTGGGCGTCCAACAGAGAAGGAGGGGATTCGGGACTTGGAGAACAGCAGAAGGGGGGTTTCTGTTTTCCTGCTCAGTTATATTTTTTCATTTTAATTATTTTGTATTTTACTCACAGAGAGTGAGTGTGTGTGTGTGTGTGTGTGTGTGTGTGTGTGTGTGTGTGTGTGCGCGCGCGCACACGCGCGCGCACAGGACCAAGAGAGAGAAATACGGAATATGTGTAGGTCAGAGGACAACTAGTAGGAGTCTGTTCTTTCTTTCCACCGTGTGGGTCCTGGGGATCAAACTCGGGTCATCGGGCTTGGCAGCAAGCCTCTCCACATGCTGAGCCATCTCACTGTTGCTAGAGTTTTCCGCCTTGCCCACAGTCAGGACAAATCTTTGTCACCCGCCAGTCCCACAGCCGCTCAGACCCAACCAAGTAAACACAGAGACTTATATTGCTTACAAACTGTATGGCCGTGGCAGACTTCTTGCTAACTGTTCTTATATCTTAAATTAATCCATTTCCATAAATCTATACCTTGCCATGTGGCTGGTGGCTTACCGGCATCTTCACATGCTGCTGGTCGTGGCGGCGGCTGGCAGCCAGTCCTTCTGCCTTCCTGTCCTTTTATTTCTCCTCTCTGTTAGTCCCGCCTATCCTTCCTGCCTAGCCACAGCCGATCAGGTTTTATTTATTGATCAATCAGAACAACTTGACATACAGACCATCCCCCAGCACAGCCAAGTGCAGACCATCTCAGACACCTGCACTCAGGCCCATGGTCCTAATCATCCTCTATGCGGACCTGCTGGGTAACGCCACAAAGAACCCAAGAAGGGCTCCCACAGGACATACAGAACATCCCACAGCATCTCACTGTCCCTTTCCTGCTGATCCTTTAACTCTGAGCATGGATGGTGGAACACACCTGAAATTTCAGTACTTAGGAGCCTGGGGCACGAGGACCGCTGAATATACAAGGCTAGCCTGGGCTACATAGTGAAACCTGAGAGAGAGAGAGAGAGAGAGAGAGAGAGAGAGAGAGAGAGAGAGAGAGAAACAGACAGACACTAACCTTGCTCTTTGCCTCCATTTATCTTTTCCTTGGAACAGCTTCCGGAAGTTCAACATTCTGACCTCAAACCATAAATCCCTGACGCCTGAGGAGGGCCAGAGACAAGGCTTGATTTGGGACTTTGGCTTCTTGGTAAGGAGGGTTGATAGAACCAGCAGCTAACCCAAAGGAACAGGGGTTGGCGCGTCTCCAGGTCTTGGCCTCTGGGTCCCCTCCCTGGCATTGTGATTCTCCCCAATTCACAGACGCTGGTGGAGCAACGCTCTGTGGGTACAGGGAAAGGTAACAGTAAGGTATGTCTGGTGAGGAGACCCACCGGGACAGGGAGCTGAGGCCAGGGACTCGCCCGAGGGACCTGTCTGATCACGGTGACTCTCCAGGGGCCGCTGGCCGTGACGGAGGAGCTGCACACCATCAACTTCACGGTGCAGTACGTGTACCAGGGTCTGAAGATGGAGCTGAAGGTGAGCGGGAGGCAGCAGGTTCAGAGGGCGGCACGGGCAGGCACGGACAGACGGACGGACGGACGGAAGTGTCCCGGAGCGGGACGTCACCCAGGCGCCGCCGAGGCAGATGTCGGCCACCACCGTGACTCCTGTTTTTTTCCGCCCCCCCAGACGGACACGCTCCCTGTGGTGATCATTTCTAACATGAACCAGCTCTCCATTGCCTGGGCCTCGGTTCTCTGGTTCAACATGCTCAGCTCAACCCCCCAGGTAGGAGAATGAGGGGAACGGGTGAGGAGCAGAGAGGGGCGGAGGCATGGTGGGAGGGGCTGCTTCTGAGCCGTCTCACCTCCCCCCTCCCCCCACAGAACCCCCAGTTCTTCTGCCAGCCCCCTAAAGCCCCCTGGAGCTTGCTGGGGCCTGTCCTTAGTTGGCAGTTCTCCTCCTACATTGGCCGAGGCCTCAATTCTGAGCAGCTGGGCATGCTGAGGAACAAGCTATTCGGTACAGTCTTCCTTTCTCTCCGCCTTGACCCAGCCTAGCTTACCTCTATCCCGTGTCCTACCCCAGACCCTCTGCCTGGCCCGTGCCCTCCTCAATCTGTGACTCTGGCCCACAGGAAAGAACTGCAAGATGGAGGAAGCATCATTGTCCTGGGTAGACTTCTATAAGGTAACTCCCGACAGCCTGTGCCCCTCCATTCCCCAGTCCAAATACTGGCCCCGCCACGACCCTTCCCTGCGTCAAAGGCGGCCCCCCATTTCTTCCTGCCTTTCCCTGCCTCCTTCAGCGAGAGAGCCCCCCTGGCAAGATCCCTTTCTGGACATGGCTGGACAAGATTCTGGAGCTGGTCCACGACCACCTGAAGGATCTCTGGAATGATGGGTAAGGCCTTTCCCAGCCTTCCTGTCCAGTGTTGTCTCCCACTGGGCTCAGAAGTGGACTTCGTGTGCCCGGCCCCCCCACCATGGCCCACGGGAGAGACTGAAAACTGGTGGGGGGTCCCGTTAGTAATCGTGGCCCGCATTTATTTGTCCAGTGTCCGCTGTGTTGTGGAGCCCGCTGGGTGCCGTCATGAATTTGTTCATATAGTCCTTAAAACCACACTGGGTAGTGAAGAGTTCCACCTTCAGTCTCATGAGGTCACCCAGTCTCGCTCGGAGAAATTAGGAACTTGCTCAGTGGACAGAGTTGAGAATAGACCCAGGCCTGGGCAACTGCCCATCATCACCTGGCCTTCTTTACTTTTTACACAGAGAGACAGACAGACAGACAGACAGACAGAGAGGGTTTCTCTATAAAGTAGCTGTGGCTGGCTGTACTAGAACTTGCTATGTAGACTATGTTGGCCTTGAACTCACAGATCCACCTGTCTCTGCCTCTTCAGAGCTGGGTTAAAGACATTCG